ATGCTGTATTGCTTTCATTTAATTTCATGTCTTTTTTTTTTTTCTTGCTACACCCTGAGTACCTTGAGAGATGTAGTGAGGCTTTTCATACTTTGTATTCTTCTTAGGGACAGTTTAAATTGTGACTGGAATATAATAGATTCTGAATATATGTGTACTATGAAAATAAATGAGAGAATGTTATGTCAGAGAAATTAGTGATAAGAGACAAAATGGTAAAAACTTATGTGGAGGAGATGCTAGACGTGTATTTTCCATATTCTCAGACATATTCTCATTAATAGACAGTTCTCTTTTTAATGTTTTAAAAGACATGTATTAACTAATTACCCAGCAAGCAAACCACAAACACACAGCCATCTCTCAACTCTTGGTTATATTGGATTGACGCATAGATTCCATTCTCCCTGGTTCTTTCCTACTTATCTATTGTGCTCTCAAACTCACCTTAATGGTATATTTGTGAGTAATGTCAATGTACGGAAGTAAAAATTCCTTTCTGGATAGATATTGGCACAGACTGATGCTCTGTCCACAGACAACACAGCAGGAAGGTGCCAAGCATCAATCACTCAGTCATATGTATGACTCCAAAAGAATCAACCATATACCTTCTAGCCCAAGATGCACAAGATTAAGGGAAAGCATCAAAGGAGATATTTACAGCTTCCTGAAATCTGTTCATTAGGTAATTTCTCATTTGTTAGTCCAACCTCTGAGCTCATCTCCTTGTGGGACACTGGTCTGGATGAAAGGGAAAAATATCTTGCTGATACTCTGTCCCCATGAGACCAGTTATAAGTCATGTAAATACAGATGTTTTCACATTTCTTTTTTCTTATTATTGTTGTAAAAACATATAGATACCATAGCATTTGCCACTTACACAATTCAATGAACCTAATTATATCAGTCATGCTGTCCAGTAACCACCAACATCTATACCATAAATAAAACTGTAATAATAATTAGACAAAGATTTCTATCTTTCCTCTGCCCTTCCACCCCTGGTAATCACTTTTAGACTCTGACCTCTATTGTTGTTAAGTGCCATCAAGTTGGTAACGAGTCATAGTGACCCTGTCTATGGTTTCAGTGGAGCGGCTGGTGAACTTGAACCACAGACCTTGTGCTTCAAACCAACATTGCAGTCCAGTGCATTAATACATTGCACCACACAGGACTCCACTTTCCTGTAGTGACAGGACTGATATTGTTAAAACCAGACCTAGAGTCTTATTGTGAGAGTGGCTGAATTACAACACTGACTCAATTCCCAGTTGTGAAGAAATGGGATCGTGAAATTTGGGAAGGGGACATTTGGACAAATAACCAGATGGGAAACCTACTAAATTTTTACTTGGCTTATACAAGGGGAAGAACTCTGGATCAAGTGACGGGCAGTCTAACTTGAATCACCAGAGCAGAGAGTCATGGTCTCTCAATCAATTCCCAGATTTGAGCTAGTTACAAAGGTCCACAACCCCTCGAATAAAGGGGTGGCGGGGTCCCCTTATGTAAGGACCCTATAATACTGTCAGCTGTTAGTCTTACCTCAAGCCTTCCCCAAAGGGATCTATGGCCTTTTACAAGGGTGACTGTTCATAGGGGGAAATAAATAATCAGATTTTTGAGGGATTACTGAACACTGGCTCTGAATTGACACTAATTCCAGGAGACCCAAAGTGTCACTGTGGTCCATCAGTCAGGGTGGGGGCATATGGAGTTCAAGTTATTAATGGAATCTTAGCTAAGATCCATCAACTGTAGGTTCAGTGGGTCCTCGAACTCACCTTGTGGTGCTCTCCTCACTTCCAGAATACATAATCAGACTAGACATACTCAGCAACTGGCAGAACCCCTACATTGGATCCTTGAAATGTAGAATACAGATTATTATGTTTGTGAAAGCCAAGTGGAAACCATTAGAACTACCTTTACCCAGCAAGATGGTAAACCAAAGCAACACTGCATTCCTGGAGGGATTGCAGAAATTAAGGCTACAACAAAGGACGTGAAGGATACAAGAATAGCAATTCCCAATATATCGCCATTTAACTCTCTTATCTGGCTGGTGTAAAACACAAATGGATCTTGGAGAATGACAGTGAATTATTGAAACTTAGCAGCTTGTAACCCTTATTGCATCTCTCTCTCAGATGTTGCTTCTTTGCTTGATTAAATCCATACATCTCCAGGTACCTGGTATGCAGCTATTGATCTAACCAATACCTTTTTCTAAATTCAAGTTTCTAAGAATCACCAAAAGCAGTTTTCCTTTAGCTGGGAAGGTCATCAATACACTTGTACAGTCTTACCTCAAGATTGCATCAACCCTGCAGCACTATGTCAGTAGGGTATCTGTCTTACTCCCCTCATTCTGACACTAAGCACCCTTGCGAATGCTTATAAGCCAGCCACTTCATGCCTTTATAGACTCCCCACCCCAATTTTGTTAGTCGAAGTCTAAGTTACCCATCCCAATCAATCCAGTATACTAAGGATCCATGCTGGATGCTTGATATGAAGGATCCTTCTCTATTCAATTGGAATTTGGGGCAGCTTCATCCATAAGCAAGGGTCTAGTTGATCTGGCACTTTACACTGGCTCTCTATATCACACTTCTTCATCTTGATCTGGCTGAATTCTCATTAGGAATCCATCCACACTAGGTCTATCTGCAGTCTGGGAGTTCTCACATGCCTCCCTCTCCTCTTCAAGTCAGCTGGCTGCTTTATTCTGAGCTCTAGCCCTCAGTGGTCAGGTCAGTGTCTTTGGGCTTGAGAGTTCCCAAAAGTTTCTGAACTTAAAACAAGCCACCCATCCTGAAGCCTATCCAGGACCCTTTGCTGCATTTCCCCCTCTTCCATTCCCAAGTTGACCAGGATGTTCACCAGCGAGCATTCAAGACACTTCATGTGTTCCCTTTGGGTTTCAGTCTTAGAAAGGGGTTTACCCTGATGGGCTGACCTTTCTTTCCTTGAAGGCTTTAGGGAAAACAGATTACTTGATATGGTCACAGCCAAACAGTCTGTTCTTTTTTCTGTATTCTACTTTTTTTTTTTTTTTTTTAAAGTTTCTTCTGTTCGTCTAGCTGTTCCAGGTTTGTCTGCATGTCTTTTCAATTGGGAATGTCCCACACCTGAAGGTTCTGGTGGGGCTCAGAATTTCACATAAGGCCTCATACTCCAGCAAAGCTTACCAAGAAGCCTGTCTTCTGGGGCACATTCAAGACCCCTTTTAGATAATCCAATCAGCTTATAATTCAGCTTATAAAGTTTATAAAGCTGAAGATGGGCTTACAAGCTTTCTGCAATCATATTCCCAATTATCCTTTCTATCACACTTAAATGTCTATATTACACTAGTAGGCAGGGGAACTCAATATCCACAAAACAGTCAAGCACTTTGACATTATTTCCTCTCCTTTACCCATTCAGCCTATGTTTTAATCCCTATTTCATAGCACTACAGCCCCTTTCTGAGCACGAGAGGAAGACCCCCTGCAAAAAGGACTGGCAAAGTGGCAGCATCAATGGGCTCAAGCATGGTAACAATAGTGAGATTGGCCCAGAATTGGGTAATGTTTCGTTCTTCTGTGCATAAGGTCACTATGAGTCTGTACTGACTTGATGGCACCTAACAACAACAACAACAACAACAACAACAAAAGACATAAAGTGGCTGGCTTACAAATTTTCAAGAGGGAGTTTAGTTTCAGTATGCAGGGGAAGGTAGAATCACCACTGAATCATTTCACCTTGTATAGATGGATATGGTGAAAGGAGATGGGGATAAGATTCTTTTGATTAAATACTTGTTGTTGTTGCTGTTGTTAGGTGTCATGGAGTCAGCAATGACTCTAGCAACCTTATGCACAGCAGAATGAAACACTGCCTGATCCTGGGACAACATCACTACTGATTCAATAGTGAGCACTTTTATTATGATTAATTGCAACTGTCACAACTGTAAGGGGAGAAATTTTGTAACAATAAGGGGGGAGTAGTTAATATTACATTCTAGGACCATAAGACCAGGATCATTAAGGGAGAAGAGCTTTAGTGGAATGGGGGACCCTAACTAGAGAAGTAATGACACCAGAGATGGAGTCAGAGATGATCACATAGAGCGATAAAGTAGCTGTGAACTCTAGACTTATGGAAACAGAAAGGCTGCATGCTGTCGGCCAGGAGGCAAGCTTGCAGAATGTGCCCTTAGGTTGTTGAAATGATTATATATTCCTGAGTGTTTTGTGTACATTAAAAAAAAGAAAGAGGAAATACCAGCAAATACTGTTAATGATGATGCATGGAGGGGATTGTAATCATTGTAATGAAATAAATAGTACAAGATGAGTGCAAAACCAATGTTCTTCCATATAAACTACCACTTAATTCACAATCAAAGCTTAAAAGAAAATTTCATGGGAGCAGAAAGCCTCATCTTTCTCCTCCAGAGTAGCAGGTTGATTCAAACTACTGACTTTGTGGTTAGCAGCCCAATGCACAAATCACAATGTCACCAAGGATCCTTCTACTACAAAACATAAAAATATGCTAAGTCTACATTATCAAGAAAAGAACTTAAGTTAGTGACATAGGAAGGGATGATACAAAACAAAGTTAAAAATTGTGTCCCCAGAGTTTCCTGTACAATTTTATTTATTTAGTATATATGAAAGTAAAGTTGTACAAGAAAATAATATCATACAAATAATCAAAGTTGTCATGTGTAGGGTTGTTTTTTTTTTCCAATAAAATTGAGGAAACAATTACTTGCAGTATTATGTATCATTTGAGGAGGAATTACTCTTTATTATATTCATGTCACCATATAAAATAAGTGGGAGTTTACAAATAATTACTGATTCAAAGCCGGAAATCACTTTGGGGAAGTATGAGAAAACACAAAGGGGAAAAATGTCTGTATTTCAGAAAAAGTAAGGGAATTGCTTAAAATAAAAGACATTGAAACTCTATGATAGAAATATACAGTCTTAGTCACAGTCACTTCTTCCATGCCAGGACAAGTGGCCCTTTATGACTTCCCTCCTGAGTAATCTCTTCAAAGCCTCCTTTATGTCCCTATTCCTCAGGCTGTAGATGAAGGGGTTCAGCATGGGCGTGACCATGGTGTACAGAATCGAAGCTGTTGTACCTGCACGAGCATTGTGAGTAGCAGAAGAACTGATGTATACTCCAATAGTCGTAAAATAAAATAAGCAGACAACTGAAAGGTGAGAAGCACAGGTGGAAAATGCTTTATACTTCCCCTGAGTTGATGAGATCACACGAATGGAGGAAAGAATCTTATAATATGAGAACAAGATCCCAGTGAGGGGACAGCCACCCAACAATACAGCTGACAAACACATGACTATTTCATTGATGAAGGTGTCAGAACAGGCACAATGGACCACCTGATTAAGTTCACAGAAAAAGTGGGAGATTTCCACATCTGTGCAAAAAGACAGACGCAACACCATTAAGCTTTCTAGTAAGGATTGAAGGACACTAATAATCCAGGACACCAGAACCAGCAGTCCACAGAACTGGGGGTTCATTATGACTGTATACTGAAGGGGGTGACAGATGGCTATGAAGCGATCATAGGCCAT